GTAAATTGATTTAATTACATTTGTAATTTAAAAAAGTTTTATTATGCTCATTTAAATTCTTTCTTAGCAAATACCAGCCGCCCTATTCTTTTTTTTTAACGTTGGAAATACAAAACATCAAGAACACTAAAATTATGATATAATTAATAAAATTATAATGAATCTTCCCACTTAAGTTGATGATCACATTCGCTTCTATAATACTTCTTCGCATATAAGATGATGATGCCATAAGCTTCTACACGGCTCCTCTTATAAAAATAGTTGCATCGACCATTGTTCCGGCTTAATGAACTATGCCAGCTTATTTGATGGGCTAATTGGCTAATCTGATGATGTCTTGCGTCTCACACGCATGCCCCAAATATTACCTTTTCTATTTCTCATTTTTTCCTTTCCCCGACACTCATTCTTTCTACAACTCATCTCTCTCTCTCCCTAAATATTTTTTTTTTTTTAAATGAAATTGATGATAAGGTTCTTCGGGCCTGCTTAATGAGTAATTTTTTAAGGACCACGTGGAGTTTAAGGTAGCTGACGACACTATGCTCGTATGGATTGATCAAGCACAGTCAGTGCAGAAAGTAAGGGTGGTACGTTCATCCAATGTGTTTAACAAATTAAACTGACACGTGTATGGGATTAACATTTAGAGAAGTCTCGCTAGGATGAGATTTTAGTGGTTAAACAAGGACAGGATTTTAGTGGTCAAACAATTTCAGACGCTACTTGTCAATTCTTAAACTAACATGTCCATTTTGACTCCTTACACAGCCTGGCCTATATATTTGTCTAACTTCTATGATGGCAAAGAAGCTGCATAGCTTTGAGAAATTAATGAACAATCAAAATATCCTTTGACAAAAGGATAAGCTCAAGTCATGATCAACAAGTCTAAAAATGTAACATGCTAAGAATAGCTCACTGGTCTTAGAGCCCTTGGCTTCATAGCCCTTGCCCCCCCCCCCCCCAAAAAACCAAAAAAGAAACAATTTAGGAACGACATTTGATAACCATAAATACCATACTATGAGACCCCACCCCTACTTTTTCAGCATTTCTGAATCCTAATGTTCCTCCAGCAGCATGTGGGAAGCGCTTTGAAAACCCAAAATCTCTGTTGTGGTAGTATCAGTGGTGGAAGATTCTAGTTCTAATCTTGGAGGGGAAGGCATGACAGGTTTTGGTGGCATTTCCAATGGCTCAAATTTTCTTTCTAACATTTCAATCACCCTACTCATTGTAGGTCTTTGACTTGGAAATGTTTGGATGCACCACAAACCCACAATGGTCATTCTCTTTGCAATATCATGTTCCTCCGTGTTACTGGCTCCATTACATCCCAAATTGCTGTCTTGCTCAAGTTGAACATAAATATAATCTGGGAAATATTTCTCAGTTGAACAATTGGTTTCAACATTCATGTTCTTTCTCCCTCCAACCATATCTAATAGCATCATCCCATAGCTATAAACATCAGACTTGTACGAAACTCCACCTATATTTCTATTCCAAACTTCTGGAGCAAGATATCCTATTGTTCCTCTGGCTTCTGAAATTGAAATGATGCTTTCTTTTTTAGGACAAAGCTTAGCAAGACCAAAATCTGAGATCTTGGGACAAAAATTTTCATCTAAAAGGATGTTATGTGGCTTTATATCAAAATGTAGAATTCGAGTGTTGCATCCTTTGTGTAAATACTCAAGTCCTCGAGCTATCCCAATTGCAATTTGGTACAAATTTTCCCAAGTCAGGCATAGACTATTCTTATCTACGTTGTGAATGAACTTGTCAAGAGATCCATTGGACATAAATTCATATATGAGAGCCTTCTGTTTGCCTTCAAAACAAAACCCAAGAAGTGTAACAACATTTACATGGGAAGTCCGACTGCTGCTGGCAACCTCATTGATAAACTCTTCCCTGTTCTCTTTTGATGCCTTCAATAACTTTACAGCAATAGGGTGGCCATTGAGGAGTTTTCCTTTGTATACAGAACCATAACCACCTTGTCCCAATTTATCTCTGAAAGAGTTGGTCATTTTCTTGACATCTGCAAATTTATATCTTGTGAGAGCTAGAGAACCATGATTTCTAATGAAGGCCTCAATATTTTGTTCATCCTCAGATGTCTTGCATAATCCAATTATTCGCCTCCGTGATTTGATCTTACAAGAAAGCAGCAGTCCTATTGCTCCACTAACGACTACAGCAGTAACACCAACTGAAATGCAGAGTGGTAATGGCTTTCAGTTAATGTACTTGTCAAAAGAAACTAATATAAAGTAAGTTAAGAAAAGAACTAAGAGAAGATCTATCACCTATAATGAGTTTATTTCTTAATGCACGTCCTCCTGTTCTGGCTATTATACACAGAGAAAGCAAAGTGGGGTTAGAGACGTATTAGAACCTGTATATGAAGAAAGAACAGAACAAAGGATACGAATATAAAAAGTTATCCGACTTAGCAATGGGAAATTATGAAATGCAGATGAATGCATTAACATTACCACTAACTTTTGAGATGAGTTTTATCCTTACAGAAGCAGCAGAGTTTATATTTATCAAAACCACAGCGTTCGCAGCTTTTAACACAGTAGTGAAAACCAAGTTCAGGTGCAATCCAATTCAAAGTAGACCCCATCTTTAAAATATCTGTTGTAAGGCTCCATCTGATGTGGTTGTATTTAGATTATACAGAAAAGAAACAGTAAAAGCGTTACGACCATCATCCTCCGTATTGTTTCTTTTGATGGCCCCACTGTACCTTCGAGTTAAGTTGACAAGTTGGCTATACTTGGGACTTGCGAGTCAATGCAACTACTTCGTTGACATCTCTAATCTCCAAAATAACCCTCAAGATTAAGTAGTTTCCAGACCAATATAATTGCCCTGATTCAGTAATCTTGCCTGGAAAAGTCATTTCCTTGTCGTTGACGCTTTCATGCTATTTTTTCCCCAAAAAATTGATTTTTTATTTTAAAATAATTAATTAAAAATTTTAAATTTAAACCATCCAAGTTAAATTTGGGTGCTCATTACTTGAGCAGTACTGCAAACACAAAGCCTTTTCATATTAAAACTCAAGCTTCGCAATGCAAATCAATATGTGGCATCAGATATTTGTCAGTGGAAATGCAAAATAACACTCTTTATGGAATAAACTTTCGAGAATAATGAGTTTTAGGATTGCTATGGAAATATAATTATTTTAAAATTATAATTTTTTATTAAAAAATAAAATTATTATTGACAAATTATAAAATTTTAACGAACACCTTTAGAAATTATTATTCATTTTTTTAAAATGAAAAGTCTTCAGTACTTTTATTATATCTAAAAAATTATTAATTTTCACCTCTTCCAAAAAGTTATATTTTTTTTGAAAATTTTAAATGCTTCTTCTTTTTTTAATGGGAAAGAATTATTTTAAAAGTACGGCCATGCTCCGGAGGAAAGAAAAGGTGACATGGAGGATTACCGGAAGGCCTCAACGAGAACAAAGGAGGCTGTAAATATCAAACTTCATGGTGCCAAGGAAAGTAAAAGCGCCAATCAGTAATGGTGGCATCACAATGACACTACTGCGGGGCAACACCTAAATGGCCCCACTCTACTTCCCACTTGAGTTAAATATCTGGCTATGAGGTGCAAGATAAGGAAGACGTGCCAGACTGAAATATGGAATTCCATGACTTGCAAGTCAAGGCCACTACTTCGTTGACATCTAAAATCTCCAAAATACCCTCAAGATTAAGTAGTTTCCGGACTAATAATTGCCCTCGTTCAGTAATCTTGCCTGGGAAGTCATTTTCTTTACTTTTAATAGACGTCTTAAAGCTATTTTATTGACAATGACACTTAATTAGCTTCTTATAAATGGTTGGATCGAGTACTAGCTTCTCGCCCACACACACATAGTGAAAACATGTTCGTGGCAGATGCCATCTGACAATTAATATTCAAACTCAAGTATGAATGCGGAACAAAAATTAGTAGAAATGTATTATTAAGGAAAAACGCACAAAAGAAGTGAGAATAGATAGAATCCCAGGCAAAGAAAAGTTAAAATCAATCCTGAGAAGTAAACAGAACGTGAGATGTACGTTCCTTGACCCATTCAAATCAAAAGTGGAAACAAGGCCTTTCAAATCAAAACTCCGGCTTAGCAAGAGTCCATTCCCCACTTGAATTCAAATTAATTTATGGCATCACATTGATTCGCTACTAGAAAAATGGAAATGCAAATGACACTCGTTGCAAACTAAACATCCGATAAAAATGACATTTAGCATTTATATAGAAAAATAGTTTTTAAAATGATAATTATTATTGGCAATTTATAAAATATATGGAACATTTTTAAAAATTAAAAGTCACCCATACCGCGATAATATCTAAGAAAATTAATAATTTAAATTTTAAACAATAATAGTTCAGAAAGCAACTACTTTTTTTTCCCAGACAGAAAGCAACTATATTAATCTTCACCTCTCCCAAAAAAACTCTTTTGAAAGTTTTAAACACTATTATTTTAATTTTTTTATGGAACAGTATCATTTTAATTTTCATAAATCTATGACCTGCCACGACGGCCCCACCGGCTGCAAAAGCACGGCCATTCTGGGTGAAAGAAAAGGAGCGATGGAGGATTACAGGAAGACCTCAACAGGAACAAAGATGCTGGAAATATCAAACTTGATCGTCCCCGTGAAAACTAAAGCATAATCGCTAGAGAAGATGGGTTCATCGTAGCTGGTCAAATAGGTTCCAGCTGTGATTCAGCTGTCTAGTTACCAGTTAATTGAGTTTCACCAAACAAGCCGTTGGGGCGTTTATTCCCTTGATCTTACTGAAGGCAGTCAAATTGAATAAAGGCGTCTCTAAAGTCTAAACTACTAATATGCAATCATGGCAGCACAAGCGCAGCATATAGCTAAGCATAAATATGGCGTGGCAAGTAATAAGCGAAAACTCTGAGAGGATAAAAAGGGGAGAAGAGGAGAGGCGCTTACCGGGAGAACTGGAACGATCGAAGGAGGGAAGAAACAGAACAGTTAAGAGGATGATGCCCATCGGGGCAATAGCAGATAAACGGAGACGTATCATTCGACCCACATATTCCATGAGACTCCCAGCATTTTCCGCAAGACCGATCGACATCATACTGCACACGAAACCCTTTACCCAAAGCTTCTTGAAGGGCTTGGATTTTATGTCGAGTATACCCATGAGATTCTATTGAAAGCGGCACCTGAATACGATGCTTACATTTGTCAAGACCGTGCTGGAATGGCATGTCAGTATGGACATCTTCCGAATAGAAAGCATAGTTGCGAGAATTAGAATTAGAGCTTGTCCAAGGGTGGCATGGAAATTGGACTTCCCCAGCGGATTCCTCTGAGCAGTGGTAGAATAGGGTCACGTTCTTCACAGACGGCTCATCATAATGGAAGAGATTGAGAGGGGTGCTCACAGAAGTGTTCGTCGGAAAAGAAGAACAATTATCATAGACAAAGTCTGTTCGCACCAGTGTCATCCTGTAAGTGGATGAGTCAATCTGTGTGACATTGAAGGTCTGTGAATCGATGTGAATGGAAGGGAAGTTATCTTCATCTTGGGGACAATCTAGCTGGAACCCAGGTCGGCCACAATAACTTTTGTCTGACCAGAAGGGGTAATCGATATTTCGAACTTTTCCACAAGGGGATGGTCCGCACTCCCAGTGTTCCATGCCCGGTTGAGAAAGGGAAAGCGGGAAAGAGGAAAGGAAGACGAAGAACGTGAGGAACTGCACATGGGCCTCCATTGTTAACTCCCTGGTTGATTTATGACAGCATGCAGGCTGGGCTAGCTCAGCATTTATCAGTCACAGCTTTTGGGTCAAGGCAGACTTTGACTTCACAATGGGAGGCTGCGATCCTCTATCATCATTCGTTTTCCTGATTTTTCAGGAACAAAACGCCTCAACCCTAAAAATCCTATCTTCCTCCACATCCCCCCGGGGCGGACAAGTCCTTCCCCTTGTTTCATAATATTATTTACTTACGTTATTTAATATACTATAAGAATTTTAGTTAGCTAATTTAAATAAATTAAAAAATTAATTAAGATAGTTATTTATAATAATTAAGTATTATCACTAATTAAGTGTATTTACTAGAACTATCATTATTATATAAATTATTTTTAAAAAAATAAATAAATACAAAATATAAATTAACTGATATCTTATATTTAGAATTAAAATGAAATGTATACAGCTTTTATATTGAACACGGAAACTAGTATATAAAAAGTAGATGTTGACTATTCAATGCGTATTCCAGATGGCCACAGGTGAAAATGTCTTGCACATACTCGTTAGGAAGCAACCACTCCCTTTCCCCTCTCCTTTTTCAGACTATTTTCAAATTGGGCCCCTTGTTAACTTTCATTACTCTTTCTAACAACAATTTTCTTTTCAGGTATAATTCAAAATATATCCAAATCATTTTAAACTTGAAACTACTTTTTTTTTTTACCAGCAAACTGCTTATTCATTAAAAAAACAAATCTTAATACTGACATGATACCATTAAAGTCTTATAAATTATGCATACCAAATTACCAACACTATTAATATTATTTTTATACCGATAAAATTGAAATATTTTATAATTTAATAAGAAGTCACTATTTAAGTATAATCACATTAGGGAAATTTTCAGTTGTAAATGAACACTAAGCATTGTCTTTCCTAAAGGTGTGATTTTATATTTCTATTTTACCTATTACAAACTTGCTCCTTTTCCCTGTTCAAAGGCTTTAAGGTTGGCTGTAGATACTGTTTTGATATAAAATATGATATATATTCAAATTGATAATTAAATCTACCTCATTAAATTTATTTTGAACGTACTACAACCAAGAAAAGTTGGATTACTGGTAAATCGAAACCCAACTGGCAACTGAGCTGGGTACTATAGAAGACCAATCATATAAGAGCGAACAGGGCGACCAAGCCCTTGGTTTGTTTCATCATGGATGGGGTATTTATTGGACTAATAGCTTTTAATTATGTTAAGACTTTTCAACTATCAAATGTTCCCAGCGAACAAGCTCAAGCCTTAATTAACAAGGTGAAAGTGAATGAACTGAAATAACATAAAGAAGAATCTAACTTCCTAAGAATGAATCATGAGTGCCTCAGAGTCTCCTCAGTGACATCGTCAGCTCTTGTTCATGGAGGGTACTGATTTTTTCTAAAGATGTAACAAACCAAAAAATTCTATGACAAGAATAGAACAGTGATTTGCATGTCGCAGAGCAACTACAGGGCCTAAAGAAGGAACAGAGAAAGAAGCCATAAGAATGAAACACATGAAGATGAACCTCACAGTGTAGAACTAGTACACAGGGAATCGATGCAACAGAAATTGATCCAAAAAGAAATCTTGCTTTTCTCCATCATCTCTGCACGAGGTGTTGTTCCGGCCGATGGAACACCGAGGGGCACAGTCATAGAATATGGTCATGGTCACAACGGTTGTGTCGAAAGGAAACAGAGCTGGGTCCAAAGAACTGTTGGTGAAACTGAAAGAACAATTGTCGTAGTTTGGGGTGTCCCTTCGCACCATTTGACGATATAACGAGAGGGATCGAAACTATATAGTGGATTCCTTACGTTAGAGAATGAGTGTCTAGTGGTGTTTTCGATAACCACTTACCGTAACAGTTAAAAGGAAACAGGGGATGAGGAGAAGAGACAGAACCTAATGGAATTAAAATAATTATGTAAAAAAAAAAAAATTAAATCTAAACTATATAAATCTCATCTGGACAATCCAGTTAGGATGAGCTCTGAATACTTATCTTTAAAATGAGCACCTAAACTTGTTCTAAATGTAATGGAATTTCTTACCCTTTTTTTTTTTAAATTTTCAATGCCATGTAACTTGGTTGTTTAGTTCAGCTCTCTTCTGGTACGTCCTACTCTGCATCATACATTATGTAAAACCTATATCAAACTATTAAACCATACTGAATTTCATCTCTTTCATCATAACACGGACACACTACTCTTCCTATAATATAAAATTAGCTCCATTAGATTAAAATTTTTATTTATTCAATCTTATTCGTAAAATTTAGCGAGCTTAAATGAGTTAGACCATAAGATCAAATTTGAATTAACAACTCTACTAATAAAAACACAGTAACAACAACATCGTCAAGATATAAAGTTCATATTTTGGTGATTCCTAAAACGTGGTGCCCAATAATTATTTAACACATAGCTGCCTCTTCTTTTTTAATTTATTTTTCCTAAATGTCCTATTCTGCATATTATAATATGTTAAACCAACCAATTCAATTAATATATGAAAGGGGAAAGCTACCTAACCTGTTTAAGAAAATCAAACGCTACCATCCAAAACAAATTAGGATCATCATTTTGTGAAGCTCAGAAGAAGAAAACATACTCTGTTGTGACAGCAACAAGGGTTTTGGTGTTGGTGCCTCTACTGGGTCATCAGGAAAACAAGACCCACGCTGTTCATAACTTTGATTAGGACAGAAACATGCGAACCTACCAAAACTATTATCGTACCCACATCTCCCACCTGAAATTTTGCAATCTTCACACTGCCCTTCTTCTGTCAGTTCCCATTTAACCTCAAAACCTTGACCTATAATATGACTAGGATCTTCAGGATCCTCCATGAAACTTCTCGCTGCCTCCCCAAAAACAGGAACTGTAATACTAATTTTGCATCCCAGAGTGCTCCAGTTGAACCATTTGTCGCTGATCAGCATAAAGTATGCTTTGCGAGGATTACCATTTATGGGGCAGTCAAATGTCATGTTAGTCGATAGATTCACAGGAGGAGGCGTGTAGTCTAAAAATTCACAGTCGTATAATATGGTAGAGTTTACATTATTGGAAGTGTAGTTGAAGAAAGCATAACACAAGGTGATGTTGTTGAATTCGGTCGGACAGTCGGTGCCCCACAAATCCATGCTTGTTATTTTAAGAGTTCTTGTGGTTGAATTGACATCGATGACATTAAAATTCTGGGACGCGATGTTCATAGTAACATTGTCTCCTTCACAATCCAGCTTGAAGTTTGCATGCCCGCAATACTCAAGCCGCGAACCGAACCAGAATGGGTAACTAAGGTTGGTGAAGTTTCCGCAGTTAAATAGCTCGCAAGCTTAGTACCGTTCATCAGCAATGGCGAAATATTCTGGGAACAAGAGAATGAAGAAGAGGAAGGTCTTGAAGAGGAGAAGTTGAGAGGGAAGAACACAATTAGGATGATCCATGTACGGTATGATTGCAACGAAGCTGTGTGTTTGAAATGGCCAATAGCGATGACGGGAATATAATTAAATCAAAGTCAAACTATAAACCCTTCATGTAATGGGCCTCATGAGGCTCGATGAAGATGGCTCTGACTCCTTGAGGGCACACGAATTGCAGACGGCTCATATATCCATTAGCTTCACACCCACTGGTTTGGATTAATACGAATATTATGAATGACACAGAAAACGTGAACCATAGACCATTCCATATACAAGACTGGACTTTCATATAACATTACGGAGTATGACCAAATAATAATAATTAAAAAAAAGAGAGCATGAGGGGTGATTTTAAGACGAAGGTTGATGGAAGAGATGAAGGGTTATCTCTGTTGATAATTACTTGAAACAATTATTTCCCACTTAAAATACTGTGTTATTAAACAAAACGAGTTTTATATACAAGCGGTCCATCAAATGGCGTGGCAAGTAATAAGCGAAAACTCTGAGAGGATAATAAAGGGGAGAAGAGGAGAGGCGCTTACCGGGAGAACCGGAACGATCGGAAGGAGGGGAAGAAACAGAACAGTTGAGAGGATGATGCCCATCGGGGCAATAGCAGATAAACTGAGACGCATCATTCGACCCACATCTTCCATGAGACTCCCAGCATTTTCCACAAGACCCATCGACGTTATACCGCACACAAAACCCTCCACCCAAAGCTGCATGAAGGGCTTGGCTTTTATCTTGAGAATACCCATCATACTCTATTGAAAGCGGCACCTGAATGCGATGCTTACATTTGTTAAGACCGTGCTGGAATAGCGTGTCAGTATGGACATCTTCCGAATAGAAAGCATAGTTGCGAGAATTAGAATTAGAGCTTGTCCAAGGGTGGCATGGAAATTGGACTTCCCCCGTGGATTCCTCTGAGCAGTGGTAGAATAGGGTCACGTTCTTCACAGATGGCTCATCATAATGGAAGAGATTGAAACGGGTGCTCACAGAAGTGTTCGTCGGAAAAGAAGAACAATCATCATAGACAAAGTCTGTTCGCACCAGTGTCATCCTGTACGTGGATGAGTCAATCTGTGTGACATTGAATGTCTGTGAATCGATGTGAATGGAAGGGAAGTTATCTTCATCTTGTGGACAATCTAGCTGGAACCCAGGTCGGCCACAATAACTTTTGTCTGACCAGAAGGGGTAATCGATATGTCCAAGTTTTCCACAAGGGGATGGTCCGCACTCCCAGTATTCCTTGTCCGGTTGAGAAAGGGAAAGTGGGAAGGATGAAAGGAAGAAGGAGAAGGCGAGGAACTGCACATAGGCCTCCACTGTTAACTCCCTGGTTGATTTATGACAGCATGCAGGCTGGGCTAGCTCAGCATTTATCAGTCACAGCTTTTGGGTCAAGGCAGACTTTGACTTCACAATGGGAGGCTGCGATTCTCTATCACATTCATTTTCCTGATTTTTCAGGAACAAAACCCCTCCATCCGTTCGGTACGAGAGAAATGGAAGGAAAGGAAGAGAGGGACAAATTTTAATGAGTTTGTTTTAAAAAATTAAAGAAGTGAGATTAGAAAATTTTGATAAAAGGAAAATATAAAACAAAAGAGTAATTAAAATTAGTTTAAAAAAATTTTTAATCTCACTTTTTTAATTTTTTAAAATCAGCTTATTAAAATTTTTTCTCTCTTCCCCTTTTCTCTATTTCCTTCATACTAAGCATACCCTAAAAATCCTCTTAATCCTAAAAATT